CAATCCCCCAATCGGCCCTACCCTGAGTGTGACTGGGGGTGGCATCGCAACCTCCCGATCCGCCCTGCTCTGTGCATGACAGGGGACGGCGCCCCAACTCCCCATTCGGCCCTGCTCTGAGCCCGAACAGGGGCTGCACCTAGGGATTGGGCCTGCCCTCTGCCACCTGGGAGCAGGCCTAAGCCAGCAGGGCATTAACTTCGAGGGGTCCCAGACTGCGAGAGGGCACAGACCGGCTGAGGGACCCCCTCTTCCCCCCGAGTGCACAAATTTTTGTGCACCGGGCCTCTAGTACTAATATAATAAAGAAGATAAAATGGAATAATAAAGGCATTCAATTAATTCAAAAGAAGGAAGAAAAGGGGAAAAAGGAAACAGAGCAGATAGAACAAACAAAAAACAACTAGCAAGATGACAAACAGCAATGTAATTTAAACCTAACCATTTCAATAATTATCTATATATATAAAAGCCTAAGTGACCAGCAGACTGACCAACTGGCCGGTAGCTATGATGTGCAATGATCACCAGGGGGCAGACACTCAATGCACAGGCATAGAAACATGGAACAGATTGATGAATCTCATAGGGAAGGGGGGAGGAGGGAGGGTGGGAAGATACTAACCAAAGATCTTATATGCATACTAGAAGCCTGGTGCACAGATTTGTGCACTAGTGGGGTCCCTTGGCCTGGCCTGTGGGGATCGGGCCAAAACCAGCTCTCCAACATCCCCCAAGGGGTCCTGGATTGCGAGAGGGTGCAGGCCAGGCCAAGGGACCCCACTGGTGTATGAATCTGTGCACTGGGCCTCTAGTATTAAATATAAATGGGCTAAATAAATATTCTCATTAAAAGGCAGAGCTACAGCCTGGCTGGTGTTGCTCAGTGGTTGAGCCTTGACCCATGAATCAGGAGGTTGTGGTTAGATTCCCAGTCAAGGCACATCCTGGGTTGCAGGCTTGATCCCCGATGGGGGGCATGCAGGAGGCAGCCGATCAATGATTCTTTCTCATCATTGATGTTTCTATCTCTCTCTTCCTTCCTCTCCAAAATCAATAAATAAAAAATATTTTTTTAAAAAGGATTTGTTAAAACCTAAAAGGAAAATCGGAATTGTTGTGAATTACTCCAGATTGATGGACCGTGGTTCATTGAGTTTGTTTCGGGTTTGTAGTTAAGGTTGAACTGAAACTATTCTAGACCTGACTCTGAGGCTTACTCTGACTTGGGCAAGTCTTTTCCTTATTTGTAAAATGTGGATTCTGAGCCTCAGTTTTCTTAATTGTAAAACAGGGGCTCATTCATTCACTTATTTATGCAACAAATAATTTATTGGACTTTTACTTCATGTCAGGCTCTGTAGTTGCTTCCTTGAACAAAGAAGACAAATGTCCCCAATGATAAGGAGCTCACAGTCTAGTGGGGAAGACAGACAACAAACGAATAAAGGAAGTTATGAAATGTGAGATGATGATGATGATAAGTCTCTAGTAAAAATAAAGCAAGGTAAGAAAGAGAGGGGGGCACAGGTGGGCCCGGAAAGGCATTCTGATAAGGTGCGGAGACATGCAGAAACCTAGGTGAGCCATGCGGACATCTGCGTGGGGGCGAAGGAGCATTCAAAGCAGAGGAAACATGGGGACAAGGGCCCTGCGGTGGGGGTCCACTTGGAATCTTTGGGAAGAGCAAGGAGGCCAGTATGTTTGGAGCAGTGATCAAGGTCAGAGAGGTAATGAAATCCTCATCAGACAGGGCCCGTAGCCATGGTAACAGCATTGACTTTTACTCTGAATGAGGTAGGGAATCAGTGGGGGTTTCTCCAGAATTTGAGTGAGGGGATCTGACTTGTGTTTTACAAAGAATTATTCTACATGGACTACAGGGAGGCAAGGACACCGGGGAGACTGCATATGAGGCAAGTGCAACAGTGAGGGGAGAAGTACTGGAGGCTTGGATTCTAGTGGAGAGGTGGAGGTGGGGATGAGAGGCTGAGCTCTGGCTTTATTATGAAGGTGGAGTGAGGAGAATTGGATGATGGATGAGACGAGGGGTGAGAGAGAAAGAGAGACCAAGATGACTCCAAGGATCTTAGTCTGAGCAACTGGGTGAAGGAAGAGGCCATTTATTAAGATGGGGGGATAATAATACCTAATCCTTGTGAGGCTGTTTCAGGGATGAAATGAGATCATGTAAGTGAACGCATTTTCTGAACTTAAAACACTACGTGGATGTAGAAGATAATAATTCGAAAGCCACTGAGGAGTTGCTAAGTCTCAAATATGCCCAGGTACCAATGTCTTAAGGCCAAAAGGCAGTGATGATGTTCTCACTGACATTTTTCTATTCAATAAAGAAAGGTTGTTCTGAACGGGCCAGGGGCTCATTCAACGAACCACAGCCCACCAACCAGGGGTAATTCTGAGTTTCCTTTTATGTTTCAATACACAGCGAAGTGGATACAACTCATGACCTCAGCCAGGCTTCTTAAAAACTCCTCTCTCTAACCCTCTAAGCAGCGACACTGCTTCAAAGTTTCTTTCACTCTCCCCCACACAATGGGGCTCAGTAAAGTAATTTTAAGTTTAAATGAAAAAAAAAGTAGTTCATAATATTTCCATTTTCCTGAATCCTCCCTTGTGCAACTAAGGTTACTCCCCTGGTTCATGCCACGCTGGCTCTGATGGTGCTGTATCCAGGTGCCCACTGTTCACTTTTCAGGACTATTCTAGGCCCTCCTGGTATATGTCCCGGCAGGGGTAATCTTTAAATGGCAGTCTAGTGATATTAAATAGCTATGGAATAGCTTTCATCTATAGGATCAAGGTACCTGAAATATGTTAATAATTTTACAAATAAATCAACAGAAAAGTTCCTGAATCCAGATCAGTTAGTTCAATTTCCAACAGAGTCAAGGAAAAAAAATGTGGGAACTTGTCCAATGGGAAAAATAATACCTATGCCAAGTATTTGCTCTGGGGATGACATGAGGGAGTATTTGTGAAACTCCTGGTATGAGGCTTCCACAGCCAGGAATGTGGATTGAGCTACTGATCCCTTTAAGGAAGATTTTAAAGAGCAGTTTTGAGGACAGATATTCATTCATATTTTTGGCCTGTCTCTTTGGTCTGCCCTCCCCTCCTCACTTTTCTCTCTCTGTCTCCCGCTGTGAGCCAGGGTTTTGCTAAAGATGCTGACTTCTCCCTGCGCTACAGAAACCCCACAAAATTCTCCAACCGTTTGCTTGAAACCCGGGTGTGTACCTTGAAGAGGAGAGAGATGCGGGAGAATTCCCATTCAACAGTTTGGAATATATGCCAGGAATATAAGAAGGAGGAAAAGCTGACTCCATATGAGCTGATTGTTTGAAGGTCGCCAAGGACAACCGCTCACACCTCCTGTATGTGGTTGTTACCGAAGGTGCAAGGGAGGGAGTGACAGTCAGAGAAATCAGGATGCCTGGGACAAGGTAGACTAAGCCAGTGAAACCTCTGAGGCCGGAATCACCCAGCATGCTTCTAGGAAGGCAGTTGCTGTCCTGGGGATCCTGGCCCAGAGGAGAAGGAAATGGTTCTATCTCCACAGTTAGCACCGAGGCAAACACAGGGCGGCGATCCTAAGAATGGAGGAAGCTTATGGCACAGCCGGCCCTTTGCATTCATGGGTTCCGTGTCCTGTGATCCAACCAACTATGATCAAAATTATTCTAAAAATGGTAGGTTGTGGCCAGTGTCTACTATGTCATCAGGCCTAGATGGCTGAGTCTGTACCGAACCTGTATAGACCCTTTTTCTTGTCATTATTCCTTGAACAATATAGTATAACAACTGTTTACATAGCACTGACATTGTATGAGAAATGATAAGTAATCTGGAAACAACTTAAAGTTTATGTGAGGATGTGCCTCGGCTACATACAAATCCTACGCCATTGCATCCTGGGGGGTCCTGGGCCCAATCCTCCATGCAGACTGCGGACAACTGTAAATATGAGAGTATTTTAATAACCTCGCATGCATCTTTTGTATTTCTTTCCATGTGGTTCTCTGAGGATCAGTTTTTTTTTTATTTAGAAAACATGTTAAGAAATAAATAGAAGCGTGTCCAAAATTGCCCCTCCGACAAGGAGCACTTACCCCGAATGCTTCATGTTCTGAGGCTTATCCATTCGGACAGCAAGTTTGATTTTGAGGTCCTGATCGGGGCAGTTTTTGGAGACCGTCATTTTGTGCCACTCTGACTGCTTGGGGCTGTTCGGGGTGGGATGGAGGATGACCTGTAGGGAGAAAGCACAGCCGTCTCAGCCGGGAAACCAGCGCTGTACGGGCACGTTGTGGGGATGAGAAACTGCTGCGGAGAAGGCGTGTCTTGCGCAGGTCCCATCGCCCAAGGGAGGCAGTCATGTGAAGCGGGTCCTGGCCATCGGACTCAGAAGCAAGGCTTTGCCTCCCAACCCGCTGCCTCCTGCCACCCGGCCCGGCCTGGCCCGAGGACGGAAATGCTGTTCTCTGCTCCCTTCCCACTCCCTGCGAATTCTCTAAAAGTAAGGATTGTGGTGTCTGTGATCTTGCTCTCGCACTTTCCCAAAGCTCAGAAGCACCGCAGCAACAGTGTCCTCCGCCCATCATCCCCTTCCCAGAGAGGACGGGTGTGGAGGGAAGAAACACCTCACATCTCACAGGGCACTGCTCGCCCACTCTTCCTCATCCTTTGGGATCCCTCCCAGCATCGCAGCAGGAGAAGCCCTCAGAGGCTGCAGGGAAGGTGGGGGATGGGAAATGTGCCCTTTAGAGAGGAAAGGGACCTGCTGCCAGTTACACATCTCAACCAACTTCAGCGGCACTTCCATCTCATCACAGGAGGCCCCTCTGCCCTGAGGAAGGGTGGGCTCCGGGACAGACCCCGCAGTGGCTTCGGGGATGGCGCGCCTGTGGGCCTTGTGCCTCAGGTCTCCCTGTCTCTGGCTGTGAGTGAAGCTCAGTGACCCCTTCTGCAGGGAGATGAACAGTTCCCAGGAGCCACGTGGGGCCGGGGGAGCGTGCACCGGGAGGAGCGGAATTTGGAAGATCCCCTGAACCCGGACGGGAACTAAACACAGGACAACAGAAGCTGGGCTGGCTGAGCTCTGCCTCTGCGCTGGCAGCCTGGCCTGGCTGCTTTGGCTTTGCTTTCAAAGCCATTTTCTCCAGGAGTGGGCAGGCCGGCCCCTCTCCTGGGCTCCTGTCACCTCTAGAGGGGCTGGGAGGGGCCCCCAGAGGCTGCCCCGCTGTCATGCGAGCTCAGCCTGGGCTGGAGGAGGATAGGCCAAGGCAGAAAAGTACCATCCCCCCTTTCACAGGCCACGCTGTGTTGATTTTTCACCCTCTGACTCCAAGCCTGACCCTTCTTCTTCTTTTTCTTTTTCTTTTTCCATTAAATTCCCTCTCTCTGATGAAGGGAAATTTGCATATTTTTGCCAAAGACAAAATTAGAGTCTTCTCAATGTCTTATGATTGAAATAAAAGAAACCCCCATATTTCAGACCACAGGCTGCCAACGTGTTTTTGACCATGCCCTACCTCAGTAAGATTTTTTTAGCAATTGGCCCCATGTCTGTAACTGTATCACTATCAATATAAAATATGTCAACATGAACACAGGCCGCCTCAGAGATATGGCGGGTTCAGGTCTAGGCCACCGCAATACAGCAAGAATCTCAAAAAAGTGGGTCACACAAAGATTTTGGTTTCTCTGTGTATCTAAAAGCTATGTTCACACTATACTGCAGTCTATTAAATGTATAGCAGCATTATGTCTAAAAGTACTTTTTTGCTAAAAAAAAAATGCTAATCATCATCTGAGCCTTTGGAAAAACTGTGCTGATAGAATAGCTCAGGCTTGCCACAAACCAATTTATTTATTAAAACCAATTTGTTTATTAAAAACAAACAAACAAAACACACAAAACAAAACGAGAAAATTTGATACGCTGATATATAAATATCAGTAAAAATATATACCCATATATATATTTCACATTTATATGTCTACTTTGTGTTAACATTAATTACATATATCATAGAACATACATAAATACAGACGTCTTAAAAGATGGGCTAAAGACAAAACTCTATAGTCCAAGTGTCTTGCGCATGGCGGTGGCTGTGTTCTATGATTAGCCTCACTTGCTGTATATGGTCAGGGCAAGGCTGATCGTTAAGGGTACGGGATGTGTGTCTGCATTTCCCATAGTCCTGACCGGCATGATCCTGTGTGATCACCGGCCGCTTAGTCTCGGGTGGTGACGGAACTCTGCGAGCAGGCCTGGGGGCAGGCCGCCGTTTTCATGCTGCTTGCCAGGCTTGAATATTAGGACTACCTTCCATCAGAGCTCCTCTGTGGGAATCTCTTTGGGCATTTGATCATTCTGTTAATTTAGGGTTAATTTAGCTAAGATTCAATCATCAAATGTGTAAGTTCACGTCACTGGCACCAGTGGCCTTGGACTTGCTGGAGGACGCTGGATGTAAACGAGACAAGGTGCCACCAGGGCCGGGGGGTGGGAGGGTG